GACAGACAGACTAAGCGCTTTATAGTAAGTAGGATGGCAAAGCAATGCCCGATTTTGGGTGTCACCATAATTTTTTGTCTCTTTGCAACTTAAACCTCATTTGGTATTTTCATACTGACTAACACGTCCTGGAAGCATTGTAGACACTAGAGAACCTCATCCCTGGTTATGTGGCCGCTCGGTTGGTCTCACCATTGCAGTAGCGAGGGATATAATAATTCTCAAAGGTCTTGGATGTTACACGAATTCCTAATATGCACGTCATTTTAAAAATTCTTCGCCTACGCTGCTTTCAAACTGATGACGAAATGAGGTCTTGACACTTCTATTGTACAAAAGTTATTGCTAAATTCGGTAAGCCTGTGAAAGGACTTTTTCGACGACGACCGACCAACCGACGGTCCGACCGGCCGAGCGAGCGAGCATCCGGGGGCGGTGCTTGCCCCTTGTTTACTACCAAATCTTGGTCGATACCGCAGGACGAGTAGTCCCCCGTCGCTCGTTCGCTCGATCGGCCGGTCGCTCGCTCATTCGCGGACCAAAGCATGGACTATGAAGGCAGCCACTAATCCGTGGGTGCCAGTGGTGCACGAAACAAAGTAGCGTAATCCTGTGAGCGCACCACGTCGAAATGCGTATCGTCGTCAAAGAGTTAATCAGTGTTGTACTAGTACTGTACCACAAACGAAGAGGACGATGGGCGCCAACCATCGGTGTTCGCTTATGCAGTTTTAGGGGTATGGGTACTTACGTGCGTCCGAGGATGCGCGCGGCAAATTGCGCAGCGAAGTGCGTGGTGATTCGAACGACTCTGGCGCCTAGCATTGGGGCCCAAACTCGAAGTAGAGTAGTTTAGTAGGGTCAGCTGATACTACTGATCTACTCTACTTCAAATTTGGGCCCCAATGATAGGCGACAGAGTCGTTCGTATCCCCNGTCGATACCGCAGGACGAGTAGTCCCCCGTCGCTCGCTCGCTCGATCGGTCGGTCGCTCGCTCATTCGCGGGCCAAATCATGGACTATGAAGGCAGCCACTAATTCGTGGGTGCCAGTGGTGCACGAAACAAAGTAGCGTAAT